GCTAGGATATTTCTCACTACATTCAAGACCTATTTTTCAGCAGGGAGTTTTTGCTAATTTCACATGTAGAAAATGAATAAAAAACTCCATCATTCGGAATCCTTGATAATCAACAGGCTTGAAAATTTCAATAGTTCACTTTTCTATCGATACTTCCATGAGAAATGTTCTTCGGAAATCTCTGCTATCATCCCTTCACTAGCAATACCAATCAGACGAACTAGACAAGCCCAGTCAGCACATCCTCACGTTGTCAACCTCTAAAGATGTCGAACAGCACTTTATCAAGACTCCTTCATCCATAAAACGGCTAGGCTCTGGAATTCGTTTCCTGTGGAAGTATTTCCAACAACATATAACCTCCAAAAGTTCAAGAAAAATTCCAATACCTACCTCCTGTCCCTATCCTCCCTAGGAACGCACGATGTTCTTCGAACATTATAGGGATTCCCTTCCGCGCGCTCCAAGCGATAAAAAAAATCAGATGTGATATATGTTGTTTTAGTAGGTGATATTTTTGATCATCCATTCAATTATTAATGTGAAATGAAGAATTAGCTAGCCTGCTCCTCAGAACAGGTAATCGAAATCCTTCTCATAATCGTGAGTATGTTTAAATAATAATAATGATACTACTAGTTTTATCGCTTTGAAACAAAAAGTAACAGCAAGGGTTTTGCTGCGTACATGAATTTCAGTTTACAGTGATCCTTAAAGCTACCTATACTAATATCGACAGGGGAATTAACTTGTGAGTATGTATATGTTCAAGTAAGTCATGTATCATGAGTAAAATAATTGTATGAGTATTCCACTTGAAGAAGCTACTGCCTGAACAGAACATGTCATGAATCTGAGGAATTCGTGTGGAATTTCTAAAATCACTATGGGATTGAATCAAGTGACAAGTGATATTAACAACAATATTTGATATATTCATTGCAATATCTCATGATATATGATTCTTGAGAGGTCATCAGAGAGTAGATATCTCTAAATCATGTGAAATTTTCCATTAGTATGTTCAGATGTTTTACATGAATGAATTTCGGTACTATAGTATTCTCACTATCACAATGTGGAAAATTGTGCTATAAGAGTTTTTGCTGAGATATTTCTTGCTACTATCACAAGAAAATATAGAACTGTTATACATTTTTAAATTGAAGCAGCACCTTGAAATCCTGTGATAGCAATAACGCACTGAGGAAAATTGTGCTATTAGAGTTTTTGCTGAGATATTTCTTGCTACCATTGCAAGAAATCATATTACCGTTATACATTTTCGAATAGAAGCAGCACCTTCAAATCCTATGATAGCAATAACGACTTTGCTGAAAGTGAATTTCCTGCCACAGGAAGGTATACTGCTGTCGCTATCAGGCAGCTTCTCTCGGACAGCATGATTTTTTTATAATTGTCTAGCTGAACTACTACCGTGCTTGTGGCTGCGAAGTTCATCGCATAGAACTGCACCCACTAACAATAATACAACTGTCAGTCTGCCACGAAAATACTATTTGACAAACCTACTTGGGGATATTCAGCGCCTACTTATCTTTATTCGATATTTTGCTGATTTGTCCCCCTCTATATACGCATTTGTCTGACATCTTGCTTGATCAATCAATCACAGTTGAGGTCATGAAATTGTTTGAATGATTTAACTGGTAAAATTTGTTTTCCTGTACGCATCTGTAATAACTTGCCTAGTTTTCGAAATATAATGGTTTCAGGAAGTTTCAGAAAAATTATTTTTTCCATTAAATACTCAAAAACCTCTTATTTTTCCTAAGGGTGCATGAATCGATTGATCTGATGAATCTCAAAGATCATTGGTCCGAAATTTCCTTCAAAAATCAATAAATTGCTCTTCATACCAAGCATCAGGGTGGAAATTATAGGGAGTGAAATTGGATTTCAGTCGAAATCTCACATTTTCTGATGACACCAATCCTGGAAGATAACTGAATAACAACAGCAAGAAGGTCATGCAACTATCTATATGATCACTCATCAAGAGTAGCAAAGTTCCCTACCATACGATTATAACCCTAACAACACCAGTACATACTAGGGACTTCCCAGGAACGTCCCTGATTTTATACTGGGACACCCAGAGATGGATGCAATTTGTCGGGACAACGTACATAATAGGGATGTCCCAGAAACATCTGCTGACTGCCAAAAAAGGCACCCAAGGAATGTCCTTTTGGTATGTCCCTGGGACGTATACCAAGTACGAAGAAAGGATATCCCTAGGACGTCCCAAGGATATTCCAGGGACATTCCTTCGACGAGAGAAATAAAAATCAGGTCGAGTAGGGATTAAACTCGAGACCTTTAGCCTACTCCATTGGCTAAATGCCTTCTGAAGATTTATGTACTAAACAAATCTATAAACAGGACTAAACTGCATAAACCTAGATGAATAAAACTTTGTTAGGATTTGGGTATAATCAATTAAGTATTATCATTCTTGAGTGTTCAAAAATAAGGGGCATTATGCATTCACGATATTTGTTCGAAAAACATGGTCATTTATCAAGGAGTTCTCAGATTTCATTCTTAGTTTTCATTACAAATTATTCTCCGAAAGAAAAACAATCATTTTGGAAAAAATTCAACCCAATAGTTTGATGAAATTCAACTGATGCAAATGGATATCAGATATTCCAGGGACACGAATAGGATGACCTAGGGGAGTACCGGGCGGGATGTCCACTGGACAACCACTGCGGGACATCCTTCGGATGACCCAATCATGTACATTGCCCTACTCCCATTATTAGATGCACTCACTCGCGGTAGCAAAGTAAGATACCTATCACAGAACCCAGATAACACAGGATATCCTATGGATATCCTTCTCAAGTCCATTTCAGGTCGGGATATCCTGGGACATGAAATGGATATCCATAGGATATCCGTCAGAGGATATCAAATGGATATTCTGATGCGGATCACCTATGGACGTCCATTAGATGTTCGTTTAGCGAACAAAAATTGTTAATTGAGAATGGTTCAAAACAATACGAATCATCACAAATATCACATGCAATTAAATCACATGTTTATTAGAAATTCAAAGGTAGTTTTCCATCATATAACTATTGTTATGTAGGTATATATAATATGTTTATAGCCACAATTAAGATATCCGATGCAAATATGAATTCATATAAATAACAACACCACTATTTGGAATTTTTCTCTGTTGTTCAATGTTTTCGTACAAAAATATACAATCACTCGAAAATAGCTCTCATATATTTACTTTTTTGTGGTCTTCAGATGGACATCCATGAGATATTCATCCATGGATTTATAGCGGATATCCATCAGAAGATATCTTATGGATAGCCATAAGATATCCAAAGAAAACATAAAATCATATTTATGTCAAAATAACTTTTGTTCTTCAACATTTTCGCACAAAAATATGATTTCTCAGAAATAACTTGTATCTCCATTTTTTTCCTTGGGATTGAGATGGAGATCCATAAGAAGATATATTCGCATCCCTGAATTCAAAACTGGGTAGGTATTTTCCCAATGGATAGTAATAAAATATTCTGAAGCAATAAAATATAAATCAATATGGCATTCGCGTGAATGACAAATTTTCCAAAAGAAAGATGGAAAAATCTAAGTGAATCTAATTCTTGAATTCACCTTAACAGCATTTCGGAAAATAGCTTCATTGTTGCGCTAGGGATAACGCGATTCAAATCCGGCCACCTCGCCTCCTCTATTTATCTCTCAAAAGATTGAATTCAATTCGAATTAACCTCCATGGCTAGAATCGTTCTGATTGGTCTAAAAATGCTTTATATTATTCGACATATCTACTTGCTTTACCGCACTTTTGGTTTAACCGAGGATGGCATTTTCAAACGGGACACCCTGTATTTTATTCCATAATCGGTTAAGGATTATCATAACGAATTCAACGATACTGTGTTTGATAGGATTTCTACAAACGATTAGAAAGATATATTCACATTTCCATATCCTCAATGAGCATATGAAAACTTCGAATGCCATATCTTCGTAATCGTTTGAAATAACCCTATCCAATCCGGTACCGTTGAATTCGTTATAATAGTTCCTAATTCATTATGGAATAATATACATGGTGTTCTATATTGTTAAGGATATTTAGTAAATATCCCTGAAAAATATCTCATGGATATTTGTGAACAATATCTTATGGATATCCCTGAAAAATGTCTTATGGATATTTGTGAACAATATCTTATGGATATCCCTGAAAAATGTCTTATGGATGTCCCTGAAGGATATCCTATAGAAGTCCAACTCCTTCCACTCGGCACGTCCATTGGACGTCCATAAGATATACATCGGATATCACTGGATATTCTCTGAATATCCCAAATATCCTAAATGGACGTCCAATGGATGTCCATCGAATGTCCGTGTGTTGACTGGGAAACATCGTCTGATAGCAATATACAGATGCACTCGCTAGTGGCAAAAAGGTTCTATATCTAATAATCGCAGGTGGGTTGTGATCAGCAAAGTCGACTTTATAATCACAGGTGATAACTCGCTTGTCCCCTATGCTATTAAAGTTTCTTACTGGGGTAATTCGATTTCTGCAGTGCAGGTATTCTCTTGACGAATCCAAATAATCGATCATCAACTTTGCTTATGTAACCGACCCTTCATTTTATTTTTATTCCTTTTACCTCGACGTTGCGCATCCGATTCAATCCACACTGAATATTTTACGATTCAGAGAATTTTTTATCCATCCAACTGCATGATTTTTATGGAATTATAGAATCGTTTTCGATACTTTTGAGCTCTATGCATTCATGACATTGTGGTCCCCGCCTCTGCTCACCACCATCGTTGATGCGAGAAAAGTTTTATAACTTTTGCTCTCGTTTCGACGGAACTTTCCTCTCGTCCAATTCGACGTAATGTTTCGTGAAGTATTGGTTATTCGTTATTGAACATGTTGATTGTTTCAGTTGCTGTACACGAGAATCGCCGTCTGCTTGTGGAACAGTTCCGAACAACTCAAAAAACAACTGGACGCGTCAAATAACAGCGACCATTACCAACTTTGTAGGAAGCAGTCGAGTCGATACAACAAGAAGGTTGGTATTTCAATGGTATTCAGGAGTTACAATATAGTACATGCAAATCTATTACCTAACAGCACAGGGATGTCCTAGGTACGTATCTTTCTTGTCCCGCGGTACAAGGACATGATTTACCAGGATAGGTCCCGTAGTGGTGGTCCAGTGAACATCACGCCCGGTTCATCCCTAGGGTATTCGTTTCGTGTCCCTAGAATATCTGATATCCATTCACATCAGAGTCATTGAATTTTATCGAAATATTGAGTTGGATGTTTCCGAAAATGATTGATTTTCTTCCGGAAAATAATTGTAATGAAAATAAACAATTTAGTCTCAATACTTCTTTAGGAATGAAAACTTTTCACAAACAGAAATCGTAAATGCATAATGCCCCTCATTTTCAAATACCCAAGAATAATAATAACTATACCCTAAAACAGTTATATTCATTTAGGTTCAGTTCTGTTTATGAATCTGTTCAGTACATAAATCTTCAGAAGGCATATTAGCCAATGGAGTAAGGTGCGTGCCTGATAAGCTGAAGGTCCCGGGTTCAAGCCCTACTCGACATACATCTTCTTTTGTCAAAGAGATGTCCCTGGAATGTCCTTGGGACGTCCTAGGGATATTCTTCCTTCGTACTTGATACATCCCAGGGACGTATTTAAAAAATATTTCTTGGATGCCTTTTTTGTCGGCCAGCGGATGTCTCTTGGACATAGTATGTACTTTTTCTCGACGAAGGATATCCCTGGGATGTCCTAGATACCACCTAGGAAGGATGGGTCTGAACCAACAAACGGACTGTCGGTTCTGTTGTGTAGAAGACGAAACGGCTGAGCACATATTATGTTCATGCTCTAGCATAGAAAGACTGAGGCTCGACACATTTGGCTTCACCAATTCAGAACCTATTGATTTCAGACAAATCTCACCCAATTCAACCATGAACTTTGTGAAAAGATGTGGATTGTACGGTGAATTGTAACCTCTAGGGGTGAGCCACAATAGACCCATCTGGGGTCGCAGTGGAGGGGAGGTATTCGCCCCACTCACATGAAACCCATACCTTTACCTACCTATGTCCTAGTATTCAATGAGGGACGTCCCTGGGAAGTCCCTAGGATATACTTGTGTTGTTAGGGTTGAGGAAGTGGCAAATAGGAAACATTTTCAATTTATCGGGTGTCCCATATTTCTCCATACCAGCCAATGTTTCAGTTATGCTGCTTGAAAAAATTAAAAAAAAAATTACACTTCTGTCAAACCCATCTGATAGCACGCGACGTCCTAGATGAGTCTCTATTTGATACAATTCAAGTCCGAATGTTCCGGACCTATAGTGAGCGTCCTTGAGACGTCTCATTCCGTACATCTCATGGAATGTTCGGTAAGGACCTCGATGGAATGTTCCAGGTGGTGCATCATTACGAATGTCCCAGAGAAATAGCATCTCTCAGATGTCCCACTTGGTAGATATTGTAGAATGTCCATGCAAGAACGTTCATGGCATATTCCATGAAATGTCCCGAGTTCTAAATATTCAGGCATGACTTCAGATCCCACATAATGTCGCTTTTGAACAGACATGAAATGTTGCAGACAGTACATTCCTTCGAATATATCCATCATCTTATATCATTCTAAATCGCTTAAGGATATCTTTCGGATGTCCCAATCGGTACATGAACTGTTATGACTTCGGGAGGAACTGTTATAAAACTTCTATAGATGAACCATAAATTCATTCATGTAATGAAAACAAATAGATGCTTCATATATTCACATAATTTCATGGGAGGTCATAAGTATAACGTCTTATGGACGTTCCAAGGACGCACTCAGAATATCCTGAATACGATATATTCGAAATGTGTCCTGAGGGGCATTCAACTGTGGTATATACATTGCCTTCAGGACTTCAGATAGACATCCTTTATTAATCATTTCCACGCAAGCAAATAATCATTTTTTGATGACCTTGAAATAACGTCCTATGGACGTCCCGGTCGGTACGTTCAATATGTTGTCCCTTCGATGACGTTAACCTACACCTCGCCGAAGAATGACTGCTCGTAGGCTTCAATGTCCTTCGCGTGAGTCCATTGGACATCCTTTGAAATCTTCTTTGATGGGCTTCCTTGGAGACCTTATTCAGAATCTATTTGACACCTTCTACAGATCATCAAGTAAGCTGGATGTCCTCATCAGTTATGCAAGATCTTTTCCTAGGAAGAGCAAAAAAATCACAATCAGAATGATATACATATACCTAGTCGCTCTTACAGTATGTCTCCTTATATTTTAATCCCCTATCAACATCTTCCACTATACGAGGCGAAGAAAACCTCAAATCCCTCTGAGAGTTGTGAGATTTCATCTATACCATTCGGTTATTTTATATGGAACATCTCATATATTTACAACTCGAGTAAAAGTTTTTTCCAATCTGTTCACAAATATGCAGGGTGTTCTGAAATCAGCCTGCCAAACTTCACCAGCTGCTTCTGCTGCCAAACATAGGGAAAAAGTTCAAATGCACATGAGTCGATGGAATGTCTGCTAAGGCAAAGGGGGATCATGCAGATGAAATTCCATGAATATTTTTGAAACAGACTGTCGGTTGTCTGTTGTGTGGAAGACGAAACGGCTGAACACATATTATGTTCATGCTCTAGCTTAGAAAGACTAAGGCTCGACACATTTGGCTTCACCAATTTAGAACCTATCGATTTCAGACAAATCTCACCCAATTCAACCATGAACTTTGTAAAAAGATGTGGATTGTACGGTGAACTGTGACCTCTAGGGGTGAGCCATTCGATAAAATGATGCAATTCAGGTCAAGAACTAAACTGTCCATGCCCAATGCAGTGAAGATAAGATCAATAGTAAGGGTTTCTTGGCATTGTGAAGGTATACATACAAATAATTGTACAAATATTCAGTTCAGAATATCATGGCAGAGCGTTTCCGGATGAAGCCATATCATCAGAGTGCATACTCGTATATCTGTCTATCTCAGAGAAGAACATTTTCAGGGCAGAATGAATAGTTTAATAGGATTACAGTTCTTCTTCAACAAAATGGTTTCAGTGTTTTTTTTTGTGAGAGCAAAGTACCATTACAATGTTTTTTACTTTTTTGGCCACGACAGGTAAAAATAATTTCGCAAAGAACGTCTTTCAGGGACTTTGCCCAGTGCAATCAAAATTTTGTATTATACACTCCCGAATGAAATTTTGGAATGACTCCATAATTGCTGCATTGGAGATTGAAATTCAATTCCTCGTACCAAATTGCATCATTTCAGGGAGCCATACCTCCCTCGGGAGACATTCCTCGATTCGAGTTCATTTGAACTCTCCTTCGTATGATTGGTCGTGAGAGCTGGTGGAAAAGTTTGGCAGCCTAATTTCAGGACACCATATACAGTCTGTCCAAGATAAGGTTGAACAGCATGGGGATCTACGAACCAGTAGGAGATACGAAGTCGTTCAAATGGGGAAAAAGTTGCGCATTCAGAGGCTCATATCAAGAGCCTTCGAGAATTCTCTTAATTATATCTAGTTTTGGAGTTGTAATGAAGAAAGTAAATTGTTGGAATACCTATTTTTTTCTCCGTTTTTATCAGAGATAGAGAAGAACTGAGAATACTTTTTCGTAGCAACTTTTGATGACGTTTAACGTGGTGATACCGATTTTTTTAGCGACGTTTCGTATCCGAAGAACCATCATCAACTTTTGTTTTTAAAATACGGTCCTGATAATTTTTTTACAGATGTTCACGAAGGTATTATACAAGGTTATTCGAATGTGTCTCGACCTATATTTCTATCCATCATCAATGTTTTTTCGAACTTCCAAAGGAAAAGTGCCATCAGTTCCATTTATTTCTGATAATTTAGTGTCAAACATCGATGGATTAGTTATTCAATACTGAGAAGTGGATAGAAAATATTTCACTACATCATTCAATGCAGCGCTTGAAATTATTGATGAATTCTTACACGAATTACTTCAACAACTTAAATATGACAATGCCTACAGAAACATTCATAACAAATGTTCTGAATGATAACCATTATTTTCTGAACAAGGATATCTCTTCTCACAGTTGCTTCTAAGACATTACTAAGCATTTATGGGGTTATTTTATTGAATGCTTCTATGACACTGTCCCTTAGTTCTGCTTGCGTGTACAAAGTTTTTGATATATCCCCTGAGAAAAAATCCAGCTGTGTCAAATCAGTCGACCGCGCTGGCCAAGGGACTGTAGAATGAGTACCAATCCATTTTTCTGGATATAAACGCACGGACTTCTCTGGAATTATGTACCGGATCTTGTTGAAACCAACAGTTCTGAACTTCCGAAATCGGTAAATCATCCAGAGCTTTCTCAAGATGATTCTCAAGCAAATTTCTATATCGTTCGGAAGTCTGTGTTTCATGGTGAATAAAAGGACCAATAATTCGTATCCCAAATATTGCAACCCATCACATATTGAAGCCGAAACGGTGTTGGTGTCTCGCTGTAATGTATAAAGGTTAATTTCCTCGTGAACAATAATGTGTACTTTTCTTCTATCGAAGATACCATCATTAATGACCATGCTTTCATCAGTCCAGAAGATTGTTTGAAGAAAATCTGCAAAATTCTGAAATTTCCTGGTATACCACTCACAGAATGTCCTGCGCCTTTCGTCATCGCCTGGTTTTAGCGCTTGACATATTCTGAATATTTATGGATGGAAGTTTCGTTCCCGCAAAATGAAATGGGTTGTTGATTGGAACCAGTTGATGAGGTTTCAGTGTGTTGACTGATTTTCCTTCAAAATAGGTGGAACTGATGGCATTTTTCCTATGGAATTTCAAATAAATATTGATGATGGCTAAAAATAGGTCGAAACACACATAAACCACCTTGAATAATACATGGTTCAATTCAGAATGGAAAAAACTTCCAGAATCTGTGAAAAAATTATCAGGACCGTATTTGAAAAATCAAAGTTGAT